ATCGAATTCATACTAATAACATATTTTCTTTTTTTTGAAAGTCATAATGCAAGCATCAACTAATAAGCGAAAAGGGAAGAATATCATAACACAGAATGCATAGCCTACTAAAACCAAATTGTTGAGACAGGCCCGTACACGCAAAAACAAAAAACTTAGGCGTGACCAGAAACAAGCTGAGATGCTTCACGAGTTGGACATTGACATCCTTTTGCTAATCGATGATATTGTCTTCGATCCATCTCGGCATCAAATCCAATCCACCACCTGAAAAATATCCGCTAATGATAATATTTATTATTTGGAGAGGGAGTTGACAAGTATTTCTCTCTGCTCTTCAGATCGAATATCAACCAAAAAAAATAAGACTCGGTATGACATATTAGCTTGAGAATTGCTAATTGAAACTCTAATTAGAGAAGCAAAATCCTCTGACAGTAACTCTTTTGAGTTGCCTAAGATTTCATCAAACTTTCTCTTTCTGATCTATACTGACATTATTAGAAAAACCGATGTCGGCATTGTGGGATCATCGCCTAATACCACTAATAAGCGATTGTGGGTTGCTTTTGGCCAGTGGCTAGGCTTAAAGAGGCAGGATGGTCTATTAAAAAGAAAGCACATACGACAGCACCTCAGGTTGTTATAGAAAAAACTCTGATATGCTTATAATATCCAAAGTGATAGAGACTTTAAGATCTTTTTGACACAGCTACTGCTTTTAATACTCAAAGAAAAAAGGCACGTCTGATCATATCAGCATGTCATAATCCCCAATCAATAAGTAAATTGGTCCAATTCAAATATATAGCGGAACCAGAGTATATTACAGATCTAAGTGGCCAAACATTAGTTTACTTAGAACAACTTGATGACTACAATGCCATTATACTTGCAACCAATGCTGTAAATAATTATTATTTCCATACGTTGGAGCATCCATCACATCGAAGTGACGAATTTTGGACCAATTTTATCGAACATTTCAGGGCTTATACCAGAAACAACTTGCTCTCTTTTACAAGCTCCAATACTGCAAGTACGCATAACATTGATTACTATGAATGCATCAACAAATTACTTCAAGGTCTCAAGGCATTATCGGACTATATCAATGGTTCCTCTGAGACTATTATGGAGATTTATATATGAAATTGAGTGGGCTGTCATAGGGTCTATTTGTGCCAAAGCCCTTTGGAGTTTTTCTAATAATAGCTATTAATTTTAATACTACTAGTGACTATCATTGGGATGAGCATGACGAGGCAAATAGTTTATATGTCTTAGTTGCACTAGGGGATTACGATGGAGGAGAGTTATGTTTTCCTTAGCTCCAAATGGTCGTACATCTTAGGCCAGGACAAATCGTAGTATTTGCCTCACGTTTATTACTTCATGATAATTTTTCAGTCACTAGAGGGATCCGGCATAGTGTTATTTATTTCATACATGGCACATTTTTCCACCATTTACGGGATTTTACTAAAGCTTATATTAAGGCTGGAATTAAGAAAGATGCTAATAGACTAATAGTTTCTGAGCAAGATCTCAATAATGCTCAGGGTTTGAACCACCGGACCCATCTCCCCAAACCGAAAGCAAAACCAATACAGGTCCCTTCTGCTGTATCTGATCGGAGACAAGGATATATAGGTATGAATTGTTTTATGATGCTACATTATATATGGACAAAAAAATATAGTTATTAATAATCAACGTTTCTCTAGATTTAGCACGTGTTTGACAAGAGTTAAAGGCAAAAGATCCGCTTCCAGATTTATAGTAGTTTATATTTTATATGTGATATTTGTACGTATGTCTTCTTTATTAAAGTGTGCTTAAGAAGTCTTATTTCTTTATCGCTATTTTCTATTTACATTTCTGCACTGCATTACTTAATGTATTATTATAAGTAAATAACCAAAATCAATCGATACTACTATGCTCATGTGATGGAAAAATTATTGCCAAGACACAATTTGTTGTATAAATATTTATGAAGGTAAATCTACCTCTTGAAGATGCAGAGTGCCGAACTACTGCATAATTAATGTCCTGATTATCCTTTTCTAGGCAATAATATACAGCTCAAAACTAAATATAACGAATTACATAGGAGATTAATTAACATGCATGGAGCATAGTTCTCCACTTATATAAATCCCTTTTCCCATATTTTTTAACTATAAATTTTATTGCTCTGACCTGCCTGAACATTGCATCTCTTTTTCTCGTTAGATTGTTTTTGTGTTGATAAGATGACTTCTATAGCTACTTGACACGAGTTTGCTTCGGCAAGTTGTGTGATTGAACATGCACACAATCTTCTTGCTTCAACAGAGCAGAGGGCTCAGTGCTTTGGTGATGGCAGTTTGTTTGTTCTACAAAAATATGCAATCTAGCTGTCTTTTAATAATATAGTCTTCTTAGGGATAGTCATGCAAAAAATTTCATTTCTACCATTAAAGCGATAGAGCCTCTGACTATGTGTATTATGTATAGAAAAATAATATGATGCAGGGACTCGTATTAAACAGGCCTACTGAAAAATTAATTTTAATTAATTTTTATCATACGTCATACAATTAAAATCAATTAAAATTATTATGAAATTAATTGAAACCCAATTAATGACGAAATAATTGCAATTAATTGCAATTAAATTCAATTTTTTGTGTAAAGCGATGTCTGATGTAATCTGATTTTTAAACAGCGAAAAATCCAAAATCGCATTTATTTGCTGTGATTAATGGCGGATATATATGTAATCTAATTACGTAAAATTGCAATTAATTGACCAATTATAACTGCGCTATCAATCAATTAATTGAGTTCGAAATATTGCAATTAATTGCCCTCACAATCAATTATTCAGTAGGCCTGATATTAAATGGTTTAGGATCTGCATACTCCCTCCCTTGAAAGCATGTCATATATTTTTTCTATTTATTTTTTTTTATATGCTTATAAAAATACTATTATAGAGGGCATGATTGTCAGACTATAATTGTCTACGTAGTGAGAAGAGAAAGACCTGATGAGCTTCTTGTGGTTTAGTCTACTGAGCTACGAGATGAGAAATAGTTTGAAAGTATCCACCTCGAAATTTACATAAGTACATATTTTAATCCGGTTTTACGATAAGAAGCTTCGAATCTCCCTAACTCGGTCAGTAAAAAAATGAAAATGACTAGTTGTCTACTATTTTTCTAATGCTATTCCTTTTTTTTCTCACAAGCTCGAAAAAAGATATATAGTTAACTGTTTCAGAAACTAAAAATCTGTTAACTAACTATATCTGGCTTCGAGCAAGAATTGCGAGAAGGCAGGATCACAATTGAGTGATCGGTGTGAACAATTTGTTTACACGTATGTGAACATATTTTATATTAATTTTTTATTTACTTCTAATACAAGTAGAAAAATGTCGATATACAATAAAAATCTATGAAGTATATGTTCCCTTCTCTCTTGAATAAAAATAAATCTGATATTTTATTATCATATACTTGTTACAAACCGCTATAAGTCATTGAAATTGCTATAAATCGATAAAATCAGTAAAATTGTTATGTATATTATCACTGTACTTGCAAAATGGTTAAAACTAACTATTCTGATTTAAATCCTGCTATATCGCGAGCATTAATCAATCTGCAATATAGGTATAGTGATGAAATGCCAGAAATGTGATGTTCTCGTATTCGTTATCCATTTAGGACATTTCTAGAAAACAACCCGAAATACTTCTCCAAGAATGGATTTATCCAAATAGTTGAAAAGGTATATATAGATTGGAAATTTAAAGCTGAGAGATGCTCATTTAATATTTATTGCACTGTATACGACACCTTGGTGTTTATTCATGAAAATATTATCAAATGTGCCAATCATCACCTGAATGAATGCATTGCTAAAACAGCTAAAAGGCATTTTGCATATTCTAATCCTATTCAGAAAAAAGGAGGAAGAAACGTGTCATTGCTTAGTTTTGATGAGGTTGATGTGATTTTTATGAATTATTCTATATATCCACAGCGTGGTTATCATGTATATAATACAGAGAATGAATTTAGAGAGAAAATTGCTTATTCCTTATTTAATGGTGCAAAAATTATCTAACGGGCTTGGAGAGCTTTCAAGTTGAGACCCAAAATATGAGCAAAATAGGTTTGAAATATGGTAAGGAATGATGATACCCCTAATGAGAAGAAGTTTTTAGATATAAATATTCATGTTAAAAAAGCTCCTAGTTATCATACATCAACTAAGGTAGATAAAAAGAAAGATCAGCTATATGAATGATTAGGTCTTGTATCATATATAATTGCTTTTATAGTATTATATTGGCAAGACTATAGAATCGTTAAATATTCAGGATGAACTTATATATTAAAGTAGCTATCGAATCCTGAATATTATCGTATTAATTAATCTGGTAATGAAAGAATTGTTAGAAGATTAGAGTATACGTGTTATATTTATAAAACGCATGGCAAATCATATCCATGTGATTCACTAAAAATCAACTATTTCGAAACTAAATATCTTTATATCCTAGGAGAAGAAATTAACATAGATTTCTCAGATTCGAACAATAATTGTGAGTATATGTGCTGAATTTTCTGAAGTATGGATTTGATATCAAAATAGATATTATGTATTTATTATAATAATTTATTTTTTTATAGTTGTTCACCATCAATGTGAAATAAAAATCTATGAAGTGTATATTTACTTATGATTCTCTCATCTATAGTCAGTAATATAATTAAGCGCTTTAGAAGTTTGTGAACAAACAAATCATCCCTTCTCAAAAATAAATTTTTTCGGAGTGAAGAGTTTTGTGAAATTTTATCTAAAAAATTTTCTAATTACTATTTTTTTTATTTTCGAATTTATGAGAAAATAGGGGATCTACAATTTGACTAATTCTATTCATTAGGTGAGGCACTTTTTCCTTGCACTTCTGCCTCACCTCTATTTCCTTCTGCAGGTTTAATGGAGTATCAGACCTTAGTCGAATTGCGAGAAGATCATCTTCTGGCCTACTGAGATCAAATACAACAAACTTACCTTTACGAAGGTAGCTGTTAATAACCATAGATGCACCCTTTACATCATCAATATATCGGCCAGCTATCTTGGAGACATCTTGATAACTGCTTCCCCCATTATATAGTACTAAAAAGGAGATGTTTTTACAAATAATAATTGGTACATGATGGTACTTCTGAGTAATATAGCATGAAGAAATATTTCGATGATACCCATATGTAAAAAATAGAATTATTTGATTTTGGATAGATTTAGGAGCAACATATACATCCTCAAAAATGATTACGGTGCTCTTCTCAAGTGAAAATGATTTTACGCTAGAGATTTTTTCAGGTGTGATATAACTGAACATAATATTTTTATAATATAGCACTTTGGGATCGCTTGCAATTAGTCCATACATATATCTAACAAATGCCAATTTTGGTTCATCCGGGTGGTATCTACAAACTATCAAATTATCGCATCTAATATATCTGGATCCTCCCCTTTGTCTTTTACACATTTATCTTCAAGAACAAGGTTTGCTAGTAAATTGGTTTTATCTGTACCACTTCTTCTACTGACTATCATACTGAAAGGCCATGTCATTGCTGGATGTCCAACATTTCGGAATGATTCGTGCTTTGTGGCCTCGTCTATATCCATAAGATAGAGTTTCATAGGTGATAGTTCTTTTTTTTGGTTCTTTTGTATAACAAATTGGAAATCCATAACTCTGATTTCTATCTAAGGGTATTTTATAATTCAGAATATTTTTTTTTTTATTGAGGAGTGAAATAAAAGAATATATATAAGAGGATATGCACCATAGGAAGTATATGATTAGTAATATCATTATTATGATGAAGACCGCATTCTGCTAAAAGAAGGAATTGGGTGATACTGAGGTTGTTTTAGGCCTAGTGATGCTATTACTTTTCTCCAGTCTACTAACACCTCCAATCACCCCATTGGTCTCATTGGATGCTTTCGAAATCTGCTCTGCTAAACAAGCATTAGCTTCTTGAAGAAGAAAATCTTTCTCAGATAATGCTTTTTGTGCTGAAACTAAATCATCCTTTATCTGTGTCAATTTATCTCTTTCTCTAAACAGAGTTTTTTCTAAGTCCAATTTTGCTAAAAATAGGTTAGTATTTTCTAGTTCGGATTCATTCTTGAGAGATTCTATTTTTGATAACTCATCTTGTGCTAAAGAAAGATTCTGCTCCAATTCTTTTACTCTTAATCAGAGAGCCTGTATCTCTTCCAATTTTGCAGTGATCTCGCTTTTAGCACTTGTAAAAGAAATATCTTTGTGAGTAATTTGATTTTTGAGTTCTCTCGCCTCATTTTCAAGCTGATATACACGCTCTGAAAAGCTCTCATTGTTTTTTATCAAGAGATTGTATCTAGTACCAAGCTGAATACCCAAGCTTAAAGCAATATCGAGGTCACACTTTGTACAAGTAAGTTGATTCTCAAGTTCTGTTCGGCTAGGCGGATATCGATTAGATGGCGAATCCCCAAGTTTATTGCCAGATACTAGAGCTACCTTACCATTTATCTCATTTAGCATATGCACATTTGCTATATAAATTTACCTCTTTGTTCTCATAAATTCGAAAAAAGAAATTTTAGTAAATAATTCAAAGTTTATCTACTTTCTGCCTTTTTTTCGTTCTATCATTTCACCTATTTTTTCAT